TGTCTCTTGGTTGTTGTATTATGGGAGGATTTTAAACCCTGGATAATTCACCCTAGTAAGATACATTATTCTCAAATATTTTCTCTAATTCTACAGAGAATTTTCACTTTCTATATAATGTCTTCCAATGTATAATTTTAAAATATTACAAGGTACAAATGATCAAGTTTTCTGTGTAGCCTATGATTTTGGTGTCTTACCTAAGATAATTTTCAAATTGAAGTTATGAGGATTTACCACTTATTTCTTCTTGGCACTCTGTACTTTTAGCTGTAACATTCAGGTCTTTGACACATGTTCTTTTGTATATGGTGTAAGAAGTAGGCCCAACATTTTCTTCTGCATGTTCATGTCAGTTGTTGTAACACTATTTATTTAATAGACTATCCTTTCTTTTATAAAGCTTCATGATATCCTCATCTAAAATCAGTTAACAGCAACTCTGTGAGTTTATTTCTAGATATTCAACTCTGTTCCATTGGCTGGTTAACTTGCCAGTGTTTGTAGTGTATACTGAAATCAGGGATTTTAACCCTCCAATTTTATTTCTAGTTGCTTTTTGCATGATTGATATAACATTTTTTGTTTCCTGAAATTCCATATGAAATTTGATAATACTGTTTTGAATCTGTATAACATTTAACAATTGTTTTAATCATATCTTCCAATCTATGAATATGGGATATCTTTCTATTTACCTATATTTCATTCATATCTTTTGTAATGTTGTATAGCTTTCAGTATATTAACCCTTGAACTCATTGAATAAGTTTCTCCTTAAGCATTCTTTAAATTTTCAATGTTTCTTTCTTTCTTTCTTTTTTAAATATTTTTTAAAAATATATTTGGTGTTCTGCCTGTGTGCCAGAAGAGCACACTAGATCTCATTATAGATGGTTGTGAGCCACCATATGGTTTCTGGGAATTGAACTCAGGACCTCCAGAAGAGCAGTCAGTGCTCTTAACCAAAGCTGTAGAGTTTCTTAAGTTTTTATTGTTTGCATAGAAAAGTTTGATTTTTGCATGTTGTGGTCATACCCTGAAATCTTTTTGGGTTTTTAAATTTAAATTAGAATCAAGCTTGCTTTACATGTCAATCCCAGCTCCTTCTCCCTCCCCACCAGCCCCCACCCTCCAGCCCCACTCCTATCCCCAGGGAGGATGAGGCCCTTCCATGGGGGATCTCCAGAGTCTGTCATTTCATCCAGGGCAGGGCATAGGCCCTCCCCCCAAGAGTCCAGGCTGAGAGAACATCCATCATTGTGGGATGGGGCACCCAAAGTCCATTTGTATGCCAGGGATAAATACTACCCAAGGCTCCATAGATTTCCTAGGCCTCCTCGCTGACACCCACATTCAGGCGGTCTGGATCAGTCCCATGCTATCCTCTCAGCCATTAGTCTGGGGTCCAAGAGCTCCTCCCCCCCCCCTTGTTCAGGTCAGCTGTTTCTGTGCATATCCTGAAATCTTACTGAACTCTTAATACCTATGATCATTTAAGTGGGTTCCTTGGTATTTTCTTTATGTAATGCTAGGACACTTGTGAATGGAGATAATCTTCCTTCTTTTCCAGTATGAATGCCTTTTATTTCTTTCTAACTAACTAATAAAACTCACAATGTAATTTAAAATAGAAGTCATGAGTGATGGGGGAAGTCCTTCTGTGTTTATGTAAATAAAGCACTGTTGTCCAATAGGGAAGCAAGATAGGTGGGACTAGGTGTATAAGAGGATTCTGGGAAATGTAGTCAAGAGTGGGGAGTTGCCATGTGATCCCGGGGAAGAGAGGACGTGCCAGAATGCCATCCTCAGAAAGATAAGTCCTTATAAAAATATATATTAGTAGTCATGGATTAATACTTAAGACAGAACGAGCCAATGAGAAGTCCTGGACATTGGCTGACAGCATTGTAGCTAATAGGGTCTCTGCATGTTATTTGGGGTTGATGTGGCACTGGGACCAGGCTGGCGGGAAGAACGTTTGTTACACATGAGAACTATGCTTTTTGTTCCTGATTATAAGAGGAGAGCACACTCATTCATACTAAAATATTATGAATAACTGTTGGCTTTTTCCTGTATTCTCCTAATTAAGAGTTTTTCTTGTTTGACAGTTTCATCCATTTATATATCATGAATTTTAGTTACTCTCACTACCTTTTTCTTCTTTCACTGTTCCACCAAACTCTTCCGTCTCAGTATGTCGTGCTTCTACTTTCCCATGCTCATTTGGTGTGCCATCCACTGAGTTTAATTAATGATTTTTGCATGAGCATGGGTGGGAGGGTATTTACTGGAGAAGAGAAACTTGCTAGTAGCTGCACCACTGAAGAGAATAGCCTTTCCACTAACAGGTTTTAATTGCTAATAGTTCCTCAAGCAGGGGTGGTGCCTCCCTGCCTCCTTCCTATCCATGATGAAATATTAGTTGGCCAAATTTTGTGCAGGTTCTGGGAGATGACCACAGCTGTTGTTAATAAGTGCATTGGCCATGTCATATCCAGAAGACCTCTTATGATGTACATTTCTCCATCTTCTGGTTTGTCATTTTGCTCTTCCTTGTATAATGTTCCCTGAGCCTTGGAGAGGGTGTTATACCTGTCACAGTTATAGCTGTTTAATCTCTATACTTTGGCTGGTTAGATCTTCTAGTGACTACTTACCCAGTTAAAAAGATTATTTTGTGTTTATCTTTTATTTTGAAAGAATATAATGTCCTCATTTCTTTATATTTGGGCAGGGCATGTTCAGTGGTTTCGGCAAGTAGGGTCATGAATGTTTTCCATCTACTTATCTAGTGTTAGATTTCCCAGTCATTAGTATAGAACGGTAACTGGAGCACAAAGGTACTTGTCAGTTATCTGTCCAGTTCTCCCTTATTTAATATTGTAGACAGTACTGAGTGGAATATCTGACCATTGGGAAAACATTGGGAGATGTTTGTCGTTAAGCAATATAATAAATCTTCAGGATATTCACAGGACCCTCACTGCATTCTTTGTTAGTCTAGAGGAACAGTTCTCAAAATGTGGGTCTTACCCCTTTGGGGTTGAAGGACCCTTTTACATGGGTTGCATATCAGATATCCTGCATATCAGATACCTTTTGATACATAACAGTAGCAAAATTACAGTCATGAAGTAGCAAAAAAAATAATTTTATAGTTGGGGATCACCACAACATGAAGAACTGTATGAAAGGGTTACAGAATTAGGACGATTGAGAACCACTGCTCTGGAGGAAGCTTGCACACTGAAGCTGACTGAGAGATAAGAGGTTCCAGGATGAAGAACAACAATGGCCTTCTACCTTCCAGGACAAAAAAACAGTAAAGAGAACAATCAAGGGATGTTTGGGTATCTTCCCCCATGTCTCTAGGATCAGACCAGACATTCTTATGAGCATTTCCTGGGCTCTGAGTTTCTTCTCAGTCCTTCAGGAAGGTATCAGGGATCCTATAGCTACTGTGATATTCCATTTTACAGGTGATGACACTGAAACCAAAAATGTTTCGTCACTTTTGAAGGCCACAGAGCTTGTGAAAGGTGAAGTCAGCATGACTCCAGGCCCTTAGCCACCCCACCCGCACCTACTCCCTTGGTGTTCTCAGTTCTGCTTGTCCACCCCAGGGAACAGCTGAACTCTTGAACATAAATTCTTAGCAGAATAGCCTGTGTATAACTTTCCCAGCATTCTTTGCAGCTGGAATTCCATGTGCTCTTTGGTTGGGTGTTTCATTGAGGAACACGAAATCCAGTCCCTCCAGCAGCATCTTGTTAACTTAGAAACCCGTGTAGAATTCTTTGCATATATATTTGATCTTAATAACTAGACTGATTTTAATGATTGTAAACACTGATGTCCAAGATGACACAAAGCTAGTGACAGAGTAGAGTGAGGACTCATCCATGTCTGATTTGCTGCCCATGATGCATTGCCTTGTAAACTCTCAAGTAAGTTGCAAATAAGAATGCATCTGTCTTTTCTAGTCTGCTCCAGAGATGTCAAAATGCCCCAAATCCATATCCAAGATTGGGTTTGATTTTATTTAGATGCTTTCACAGCTCCTCATGCAAGAAAATGAAACATACAGCCTTGAACTGATATTTTCTCAAATTTGGCCAGATGACAAATGTCATTTTAAGGTCTTTTCTTAGACATTCTATTAATCTTTAACGCTCCCATTGCCACCTTCAGGACATACCATGTAGAAGAGAAATAAACATGTAAAGGAAAGAGTTCTTTACATCAGCTATATTTGCCTCAGACAGCTGAGGTTATATGTAAAAACCCAGATATACATATCAGGATATGCAACTTGTAGATTTCCCCAGCTACTATAGTGGTGATGGTTCCTGGGTCCAACCATTATCAGCGTCTATGATAAATTGTTGCGTGTGTGGCAGGCAAGATTCTCTTGGCATCTAATTTCAAACAGAAGGGAGTTGTGCCATTTATGGGTAGCCTCCTAACATATGGATTTCAGGCTCTCAGTGGTTGCTCTCCTTTGGGTAGCAGCCCAGGCATGCTGGATTTTATTGTGTCACTAGTGTCACAGTTGATGTTTTTAAACTTACAGAGGCAAGGCAGTATTTGTATATCTACCAACACCAGTTTTTTCAGGCATCAGTCTTTTAAGAAGAACACTGATTTCCTCTCTCTCTCTCTCTCTCTCTCTCTCTCTCTCTCTCTCTCTCTCTCTGTGTGTGTGTGTGTCTCTCTCTCCCTCTCTCCCTCTCTCTCTCTCTCTGTCTCTCTCTCGCTGTCTCTCTTCTTTCTTTCATTTGTTCTTTAAGTCAGGTTCCCATAGTGGAACCAAGCAGGAGAGAAAAGAACAGAATAATTGGAGGCTGCTGTCTTTTCCCTTCCCATAGAAAATTATTTGAAGAGACAGGCCAGAACTACATGGGAGATACCAAGAAAAGTTGTAATTTGGATGTCAGCTGTGGTGACTATAGGTTGTTTGCTTAAGAGTGCTTCTCCTCTACCTTCTTCCACAGACATACTTCAATGACAACATCCTCACCCTCATACGGACCCTGGTGACAGGAGGAGCCACACCAGAGCTTGAGGCTCTGATTGCTGAAGAGAATGCACTTCGAGGGGGCTACAGCACTCCCCAGACGCTAGCCAACAGGGACCGTTGCCGAGTGGCTCAGTTAGCCCTGTTGGATGGGCCCTTTGCAGACTTAGGGGTGAGTCTACAGCCTACACAATTCCTGAGCCCAGTAATTGCAGCAAGCCTGATAAGAAAGAGCTGTGTCAAACAGTGACAGGCTAAGCATCTATGTTTCTCTCTTCCATTGTAATAGACTAAAAAGATGGGATTTATGGGGCCCTATTTACCAGGCTCTAAACTTTATACATAGATATTCATGAAAATTCTCCTACTAGATCATTGACGTGTTGCTCTCAGGCAACTGAGGTATGGGGCATTTGTATCAAGGTGTCTTGGCTTTGGAGCTATGAGTCTCTCCTCCATTGCTGTATTCCTCAAATGTTTTCTTCCTAAAGATGAAAGGGGTAGCTGCCAACATCATATAGCTAAGTTTAGGAAACATTTTCATAAAGCCCTTATAGCTCAGAGGTAATTTGTTATGAATCTGTCTGAACATGGAAATGCTGTGCCTCAAACCCTGCTACCAGGTTTTTGAATTTATATAGCTCTCATCTTAAAAGGGGAATAAGAGATAGCTTATTTTGGAGTTATTTTGAGGCACCATGGCTCAGAAACATACATTTAGGTTATGCTGATTTCCTTTTCCTTCCTGGAAGCAGGTACATGAAGCTTCCATGTACCAAACAAGGAAGTCATAAATTAAGGCAACTTTAAAAGACATTGGTGGGTCTAGCAGAGGCAGGTATAGCAAGATGGGGGTAGATTTCATGTAGGCCCAAGATACCATCTGATGACATTTTTTAGCTTTGGGTTGGTGGAAGCTAGTGGTCTGCTAAGTTAATAGATTCCAAAAGGTTGCTATTGGCCACAAGATGCTAGTTCTGGAGAGAGTTGGGCATGGAATGGTTTGTTCTAGAAGGCTAGAACTAGCCTAAAATAAGGTAAGTAGCTTCTGAACATGCATCTTTCTAATCTTGTCACAGTACTGTAATTCTAATCATCAGTCTCAAGAGCCATAGAGATTCTTTTCAGGAGTTTTTGTTCACAGTGCCATCAAGGCACTGGTGGGTTTTGAGACATCAAAGCCCTTGTGTATATGCAGAACCATAGGCTAAAATGACAGGATCTCAACTGGCACTTTCAAAGTCTTGAGGTCTCTAATTAAAAACCCTGGTCTTGGGATTTCTGAGTTTGGACCCAGTCACACTTCTTTAATGAGGGGACCAGAGCTTCTCTTGGGATTCTCTGTACTCTGTGCTGTGTCAGACACTTTGGAAAAAATGTGCCACCTTGACCTTTACTCCAAACTCACCTGCATAGATGTGTTTAAGAAGTGGAACCATGAGCCTTGGGGGTGTATATACCTATTACACACACACACACATACACACACACACACATTACCCATAATGTCCCATCATGGAAAAGGTCTTGTTTTGTAACACATCATATGGCTACTTATGGGCCCAGACTGATATTAGACTGGGGCTGTTTTGAAAGTCAACTTCCATTATCAGTGGCTCGTATTCTTATCACTTTCTTACTAATACACTTGAGCCAGATTAATATTTTCAATAATGGAAAAATATGGGACCATTTGTTGTATAATGTGATGCCCATCATGGGAATTCCAGTCCTAGCAAAGACTACTACATTGCCTCGGTTCTTTATGAATGCACTCTGCCATGCTGTTCTGTGTAATAAAGTGAACTTGGAGTCACATATCTGCATGAAGCCCAGAATTGTCTATGCATTTGCAAACCGTCACATTGTTTTCACCTTCCGAGTTGAGCCCCAGAACTGGGGGTGGTTGTGAACTGATTAGTACAGTGGATCCCAGTTGTCTCACTCACAGACTCCCACAAGCTCTTTCTCCTAGACATCTCTGAGGTCTGCAAATTGTGCTTTTCACACAGTCCTTATCTGAAGGAGTTTTATAACCACAGGGCTTGGGGTGCTCTTTTATTCTTGCAGTGGTTTTCATTATCACTTGGGCAGTCTTGACAACATGGTCCCATCACAGTGGACACAGCAGAGCTGGGGAGAAATATAACCCTTGCTTTGCAGAGTTCGTTTCTTCTCTCTAGCTACACAACTGAGACCTTCTAGTGTCATGTCCCCACTTCAGGTGAAGGAAGACAGAAGCTTATTTGAGCTATGATCACAACTGTGTGGACACCAGAGGAAGCTCCTGTGGTGGTCAGATCCCTAACGTCAGACATACTGGGTCCAAGATGCTAACCATACTGATGTCTTCAGCCACAGTCTCTTGACATAGACCCTCAAGCCCCAGAGACAAGAAAACAAGTTAACCCCCCTTCAATACACACACCTTGATTCCCAGAAAAACATAGCCTGATGTTTCTTTCGGTTCCTTTGTTTTCTCCCAGGATGGTGGTTGTTATGGAGATCTGTTCTGCAAAGCTCTGAAAACATATAATATGCTTTGTTTTGGAATTTACCGGCTGAGAGATGCCCACCTCAGCACCCCCAGTCAGTGCACCAAAAGGTGAGTGTGCCTTCCCTCTTTGCCATCTCTCCCAAATGCAAAGGTATCAGTGCTTTCTCTCCTTCCCTGCAGGCAAAGGTCTCTGTGTGCATGCCTTCAACACACTGCTGGCATTAAATCCAACACTGAGATGAGGAGTTATAAGAAAGATTTTCTTTAAAAAATTTACTAATAGCGAATGTGAAGTCATTGAGGGGAGAAGTTGTGTCTTGCAGAGCAGCCCCTTTACCCATTACAAAAGTAGAGTCCAAAGCTTTGGTTCCCTGCATACTTCCCTGTATCCCTTCCCTGCATCCCTTCCTTGCATCACTTCCCTGCATCCCTTCCCTGAATCCCTTCCCTACATTCCTTCTCTGAATCCCTTCCCTGCATCCCTTCCCTGCATCTCTTCCCTGCATCCCTTCCCTGCATCTCTTCCCTGCATCCCTTCCCTGCATTCCTTCCCTGCATCCCTTACCTACATTCCTTCCCTGCATCCCTTCCCTGTATCCCTTCCCAGCACTACTTGCTTGCATCCCTTCCCTGCATCCCTTCCCTGCATCCCTTCCCTGCATCCCTTCCTTGCATCCCTTCCCTGCATCCCTTCCCTGAATCCCTTCCCTACATTCCTTCTCTGAATCCCTTCCCTGCATCTCTTCCCTGCATCCCTTCCCTGCATTCCTTCCCTGCATCCCTTACCTACATTCCTTCCCTGCATCCCTTCCCTGTATCCCTTCCCAGCACTACTTGCTTGCATCCCTTCCCTACATCCCTTCCCTGCATCACTTCCCTACATCCCTTCCCTGCATCCCTTCCCTGAATCACTTCCATGTATCACTTCCCTGCATCCCTTCCTTGGTCCCTAGTGTGGAGATGCTTTACATTGATATTTTTGCTACATATAGTTTGCAATTGACTCACTTTCTTTCGTATATTTAATTTTAAGAAACTTTTAGATTATCACCTTAGACAAAAACAAATGACAGTTTCTGTATTCTAGTTCTTCTTCCTCATATGCCTTAATAGAACCTGATAGCAGGCAAAATATTAATCCTACAATTACCCAAATCCATTGTGTAGTGTGCCCCAGGAAACAGTGTCATAGAGGTATTTCTCAGATCTGTAGATTAAAACCATATGGTTTTCTTTTTGTTGTTGTTTGTTTTTTAAATACTGGGGACTGGAGAGATGACTCAGCAATTAAAAGCACTGTCTGTTCTCCAGAGGACCCAGATTCAATACCTAGCACACATGTGGCAGCTCACAACTGTCTGTAACATTAGTTCTGGGGATCCACCATCGCCTACATAATACATGCAAGAAAAACACCAATGCACATAAAATAAAAATAAACTGTTTTAAAAATACTGTGATTAAAGTAATTTCTGCAGTGTGTAAGGAAAAATATACATGTACTTTTTAAAATTACATAGCTATGTTTATATATTTAATGCCCAAGAATTATAGTACATACCCAGAGTTAAAAAGTGTTGCAGACTAATGCCAGGTGGTGGTCTGTATGCCTTTAATTCCAGCACTGGAGGCAGAGGCAGTCAAATCTTCCTTCCTCCCTCCCTTCTTTTCTCCCTCCTTCTCTCCCTTCTCTCCCTTCCTCCCTCCCTCCCTCCCTCCCTCCCTCCCTCCCTCCCTCCCTCCCTCCCTCCCTCCCTCCCTTTCTCTCTCCCTCTCTCTCTCCCTTCCTCCCATCTACCTCCCCTTCCTTCCTTCTTTCCAGTGCTGTCAATTGAGTTCAGGGCCTTTTGTATGCTAGGCAGATGCTCTGCCACTAAGCTCCACCACCACCCAGGTTAACAATGTGCATTATTCTGCGGCTCCCAGGAGGTTGAGATGACCTTTGAGATCCACGCTACAGAGAAAGCTTGATCTAGTAGGGAGGAGGCAGGTCAAACTGTTGTAAACAGGGGATTGTTTTTAAAGAGGTTTGTGACTGTCAGGACGTTCTAGTATGGAAGTTACAGCACAGTTGAGTGACTATTTCGTTGTGAACTTGATCCTTGTACAGAAAAATGCATATGGTTCATAGGAATTATGGTGTAGTTTTTTATTACCAGCTCTAACTTGGCAGCGCTGCCTGGGCTTCTGGCTGCCTCGTTGAGTTAAACATGACGATTTTCTTTAAATTGGAAGAGTATCTGAGGCTACTGGACTAAGTACATCATCCAGTTCCGCCGATGAATTGGAGCAGCTAGGCAATGAGTTAAGTCAAGTCATGTGTCTGCTCCACTCAGCAGCCTGTGATACCTTTGCATTCTCTGTCTAGGTATGTCATCACCAATCCCCCCTACGAGTTTGAGCTCGTCCCGACAGACCTCATCTTCTGCCTGATGCAGTTTGACCACAACGCTGGCCAGTCCCGGGCCAGCCTGTCCCATTCCTCACACTCCTCACAGTCCTCCAGTAAGAAGAGCTCCTCTGTCCACTCCATCCCGTCCACAGCGAATCGGCCGAACCGGCCCAAGTCCAGGGAATCTCGCGACAAACAGAAGTACGTTCAGGAAGAGCGGCTTTGATATGTGTATCCACCGGCACCATGCGTGAAACTGTATCTGCTACTCATTTCCCCAGTTGGTACTCCAACAGAGTAACTTCCCTGTTCCCTTAGTAGCCCCTCTTTTTTCTTTCCTTTCTTTTTCTTTCTTTCTTTCTTTTTTTTTACACATTTTGCATATGTATGATAGTGTGCATGTGGTTGTCATTTTTATTTCACCACCATAAAACCCTTGAACACAACAGCAAATAAGTGGATGGACCAAAAGTTATTTGTGATTCTAGGGGGGAGATAACCCAAAGGCATCCTCCAGCTGTAAATAGCTCACTAAGGGAATGAGGTCACAGGTTAGGAGGCAGCACCTGTGATCTGTGTCAGTTAGGCAAAGCAGGTTTTTTTTTTTTTTCTCCCGATTTATCAGGGTCATCAGAATGCTTTGAGCTTTGGGTTTTTTTGTTTGTTTGTTTGTTTGTTTTTGTTATCTCTTTTTTCTCTCTCTTTTTATACACACACTATAAGTTAGCTTACGATCATTTGAAACAAGCAACCAAAAGCAATGAAATTGCATTGATCGTTTCCACTCTGGACTGAAGTATGGTAAACATTTGAAAAGCTTTCAAAGTGTGCACCGAAGATGATGAAGTATCTGCTTGTTGTGAGAGAACATCAGATTTTTTTTACTTATTCACCTAAACCTTTGTGTCTCCAAGCTAGCTTCTTCCAGGAGTTCAAGCGGATGTTTCTAACTTTAATGCGGAGAGAGAGAAACAGGTTTCTACTCCTGGATGTATCAAATCCTAGCCATTTCATTTACCTGAAAAAAAGTTTGGTTGCATATTAAATTCTTCTTCTGTCTCCTTATGCTGCCATAGGGATAGCAAGTTTTTTTCTTTCACTGTTGACATTTGGGATGAAAAGCCATATGTATCATAAATATCAGATGTAAGTCATTAAGAACTGCCTTCCTGGGACTTTTACCTCTTTTAAAAGGTGAATCACTTACCTTATGTACAGAATAAATAATGCTCAGAAAAGAGCAGGTATTTTTCCATGCATTCTCAGGGGACCTTTTTACTCCCCTTTGTTTGACTAACGAGGGCCCCAATGCCAGGTAGAATTCAGGCTGGGGCACTGGTGGAATGAGAGGGAGAAAGACTCAGTGGCAGATAATGTTTTTTGTAGGAGTTAGATAAGCCAGGATGTAGAAGGATGGAGCCACAGTTGGTTGACTCAACAAAGACAAAAACTAGTGACCACATTTAAATTGCTGGCATATTGTGTGATGCTCTGTCACATAGCAGAAGGCTGGCAGGAAAAGTTGAGCATAGATAAGCCAATTCTTATGGATAGGTGAGTGATGGGGAGGGAGCTTCTCCCTGTCATTTCAAGATGGGAAGGAAAGGATCACAACAGTAGGCCAAGCACATTTCAGTGGAGTTTTTTTCTTTTGTTTTATTTCTTTATTTCCTTTTTAAAACTATTAGTCAAAAAGGGAGGGTAGACTGATCCATTTTCCCCAATATGCAATTATCACATGTTTTATGCATGAAAATTATGTTTTAGGAACATAGGAGTTCTGAGTAATTGGCCAACTTTACCATAACCAAATTCTGGTCTGGGTAGACTAGCCTTGAACACATATGAACCTATTTGAAACTTTTACTTAGAAATCCATGGATAGAATAGAGGGCAGAAAGGAGGGGGAAAATTCGTCAGAGCTGTAGCATCTCTTTTAAAAAGGTGTTTTTATGGTGACTGTTTGGGATTTATATTTTGGATCCCCTGTCCCCTCCAGCATGATGGTTTTGGAGATTTGCTTGCTGTGTGATTGACAAGCACTTTTACTGACAGAAATGGTGAGGCTTGGTCAGAACCTCCACCTCCTCCTACACCAAAGACAGGGCCAGGGTAGTGCCCCAACCAGCAGTGGGTGGGAGTCAATGTATACGTGTAAATTCAAAAGTCCTGTGAGTGCAAGTATTTTTTTCAAATTATTTTGTCCTTGTGCATTTTGATTTATATATGACATATATCACTCTCTTTATATATATAACTATATATATATAAAAGACTATATATATAACTATATATACATATCCCTTAGTTTTGGATCATGAGAGATCTTCATGCATTCTTTGCAAAGGAGGTTATGAAATTATGCCCTCAGAACATTTATAACTATAAGAATGTGCCAGTTAAAGTGCTCAACAGGAAATATGACAGTTTAAAAGCATTGTAAAACTCACATAGCTTACTTCTCTCTCTAAAGTGCAACAAGGATGACTAGAATGGGCCAAGGTATGACAATTAATGGTTCCTGCATGACCTAGCCACTGCTGGGGGTTTCCTTCTATAACGTTGTCCTTGTGAAACTTTTGTGGAATTAAAAAAAAGGAGTTACAAATTTTATTCTGTTATTGGTTTGTTTATTTTTATTTCTATTGTTCTGTTTGTGGTTCTATTTATTTTGTTTTGCTTCTCCACCCTCCCCTTCTCCTCCTCCTCCTTTCTCCCTTCCTTCTTCTTTTTCTTCCTCCACTTTCTCAATTGCTCAGCGCAATGTGCTGCTGCTATGGCTAGACCCTTTAGAGTTTGTTTTGGTGTTCTTTGGTTTGGGGTTGGGTAATCTGGGGGTAACTTCTCTCCATCTGGCTTGCCTTCAAATCTGCACGTGGCCCTCCCTGCCCACCTTGATACCTTGTCCCAAGTCTAAAAGCATTTTCCATTGAGAAACCCAGTTTCCTCCACTTCCCCCATCACCACCCCAGCCCAAACCCAGCCCCCATCGGTCTGTTCACATCTCTGTGTTGATCTTGGCAAGACCCACATGATTGAATGATGATGGATGATGCCAGTTGATAACTGTTTTCTGTAAAACATTCACAGCTATTCCATTTGGCGAATGTGCTTCTCTGTTAATGGTTGATCCTCCTTTCATCTGTAATAGGAGGCCTATTAATGGCAAATGCAGTGGTCTGCTTTCCTGTTTGGTCAGTATGAACCCAAGTCAAAGCTGTTGAGCTGTGTGAATCAACTTGAGAGCACATGTCCAGTGATGAAAGGGCCGATGACTCAGTCTGGACGGTACTTGTGTCTCCTGCCACCCGCCTTTCGGATATTAGTTAAATCCCAACCATGAATAGGGCAGACAGAAGTAAATCCAAAGTGTCTTTTTAGCACACTTAGTGGCTCCAGTCTGCAATTGACTGGAATGGGAACAGACTGTGACATGAGATACAATTTGGGGGTTTTCCCTGGACTTTGGGTACACATTCCCCACTGGATAATTGCAGATCATTCAGAACTGGTCAGAGATAACTACTGATATATCTGATGGTGGCAAAAGGATCATGTTGAGTTCTCTTGTAAGAGCTGAAACTTGTATGTTATACTTTTCTTCATGGAGTGGAGTGTCTGCTCACATCATTTTCCATTTGACTCTGCACCTCCTCCTTGAGAACAGAAGCTCCCTTAGGAAGGAGGTAGATGATGTCTTCATAGTTTGTCTCTTCCCTGCTTCCCCCTTGCCCAGACTCGGAACAAACAAGAAGTGGTAGACAGTGAGAGAACACTGTAAAAATGCATGCACTTAGCAAGAATCACAGCTTGGAACTCAGTGCTCATCCCAGTTCTGGAAGAGAAACAGTGTTTCAGCCATTTAATCCAATTCGCTTAGGCTTTGGAAAGTCCGGAAGTTAAGTGAGTTGGTAAACTAGGAGGGAGTTTTGCTCAGCACTAGGTGTCTGATAACTGTGGCACTGTCAGCATCTCTAAGCGCTGCTGCTGAGCTCCTTCTCCTATCCAGTTCAAATGGACCCTGGCACGTTCCAGTTTTCACTGTATTTTTGGGGACGCTTCAAATTCCATTCTGAAATTAGGACTTACAGCTCAGGGTATTAAAGTAGATATGCACAATATGTATTTGAAGACTCTCACCTTAATCATTTCACACTTTTAAACTGTTTTATCATTTAGCCATATCCCCTTGCTTTATTTTTGGAGAAGTGGCAATTAATGCCTGAGGTGTTGACATATTTGATTTGCTTGTGTCAGGCTCTTGGAGCCAGATTCTGCTTCCAAGTCAGGGGACAAGCCCTGTGAGCTTAGTGACTAGAGAGACTGACTGTGCCTGCTGGCAGCATTAGGGAGATCCTAGGTGACCAGCAGAACCTTTGACTGGCTCTCTTTCAGCATGGGGAATGCCTTAAAGGTGTCTGTGTCCCAACAGAAATAATTATATCAACCTTCAAGGTTCCTATAGCAACAGGCTCCTTGAAGAACAAGAAAGTACAGAAACTTCAGGGAGTGGAAGATAAGACAGAGTACAAATCAATTTCTCTACCAACTTCCATCAGCCAGTGCCCACTTTGTCATAATATGATAAGGAAGTAGCTGTGGGCACCTGTCACTAAGCTGGTTAAGTATCTTCCATAAGGAGGCTACACATGGAAGGGAGCAAGAGAAACTCCTGCTACCTAAGAGGAAAGAGTATCCTTGGGGCTTGGCTGGATGCAGGGATGCGGTGGCAGACAGTCACAGGGGTCCATGACAGGGAGGTGAGATCAAAGGACACCTGGGCCTGGTAGAAACTATGCTTTTGTCTATGGAATGGCTATGTTCTGCTGAGGCAGAAGAAGAGGAGGCAGGGTGCATAGTTTTGCCTGGGAGGCATCATGTTTTGTGAGCAGAGGAAGAACACCTCACTGCCTTTCAGAAGTGTAATCCAGGAAACCACATGGAGATGCCCTTGTAGGCGGAAGCTCCTGGTAGCCATTGGTGTCTCATTGTCCTTGTTACCCAAATGGAATCTTTTCCATCCACGACATTGTTCTCAAAGCCTCAGCTCTCGGTGCTATAGAGAGCCTGTTGCTCCAGATGCCTTCATTGGGGTATCAGTTCCACTTTCTGCAGTCTTCTTGGGAGAGTAGTTATGTGGAAAGACTAAAGCCCACAGCACTGACAAGGCAGGGAGTCAGCAAAAGCTCTGTGTTCATAGTGCAACTGTTTCACTCTCTGCTTATGGAGCTTTTGGCAGCTCAGCCCTTCCTAACAATAGTAACTCTCCTCCAGGAGCAAGTCTAAACCCTTGCTCTAAACCCTAACCCTATAATTTTCTTATACTAGTGATGGAAAACACAGGTGGTTCTCCAAAGGCAGAGCATTCATCAAGTAAAGACTGATGTTATAAACAATGAATGACCCACTGCATGACAGCCCTGAATTCCCCAGCATAACACCACATTACCCCTGCCTCTCATTCAGCTTCCAGATGAAGACTGAGTACCCATAAGATCCTACCATGTCACCTCTATTGCCACAATCTACATTCTTCAGGCAAGCCCCCAATTTATACAGTCTAGGTTTCTGCCTCTGGCTCCTCCATTGAAGAGCTTCATTTGTAAACACAACATGTAGAAGGTACCCTCCCACCCCCCACATCCTACTCATATCAATGCTAACCTTAAAGCAAATGCTTAGGCACTCATTATGGCTACTGTGCTCAGCAAATTACAGTTGTAAACATATCCAACTCTCTTCATCAAAACAAGTGTAGGGATCATTAGAATTTCCATTCGTCCAATATGGAATCTGAAGAACACCAAAGTCAGTGTAGTTCAGTCACTACAATACAGTGTCCTTTCATTAATCACATTAACAAACTTAGCAAAGATTATTTGCTTACCATGTAACTGAATGTGTAGTAAGCCACTGGTCCCTATGTCATTGACTTAGCCAACAAGATTATGGAGGCTACTTCCTCACCCCTATTCTATAGAAGAGGAATGACAGCAAGATACTTTACATCACCTTTTCAGAGCAGATAGGATATGAGAGATCCAGGTACACTTGACTCCAGACCACAAGCTTCTGCCATTTCACTGGCCACTTCTACATGGTGTGTCCATAGTGTACATAATGGCTTAGTTTGTCTACAACATGGCACTCTCAGTAACATAGCAGTCGAGTGGTGGTTCTGCCTACCCTTAATCTCAGCATTTGGGAGACAGAAGCAGGTAGATCTCCATGAGTTCAAGGCCAGACTAATTTACAAAGCAATTTCCATGACAGCCAGGGCTACACAGAGAAACCCTGACTTGAAAAAAGAAGTCAATAATATAGTAGTTATTTTACCTCCAGTTATTTTCTCTACTTGTTTTGTTATACTCATCTGCTTACCAAAGATAGTAACATGTCATTCCCTTCCTGTGGGAGGGAACTCTAGCTGCCTTGTGACTGAAATTCCTGACAGGCCTCACAGAGTTCTCAGAATAGAGTATCATACATATACCACCCACAATAAGTTCATAAACAAACACACATTTTTTATTTTATTTTTTGTCTGGCACCAAAAAGTCCTTCACAGACCACAGAATTTCTCATCCTAGGTGTAAAACGAGGCTACATAGAACACAGAGATAAGCCAAGCTTGGGAATGGAGTTCCCTTGCTCGCTACAGTCCTCATTAGAAGCCCTGCTTTGAGTCCTCTTCCTAACGCCTGCTTTTGTAGCAATCTATTGGCTTCATCTTTGAAGGACAAGATTATGCCAAATTGTCACTGTCTTATTACACAAAGCACATTCCATGGAAGCCCAGCGGATGGTGACTATTGAAATGTACCTCCCTCTGAAGCTGTTTGGGAGACCTTTGTCCCCAAACATTTCAGACAGCATCCAGAGCACCTCACTAGTTCAATTTCCTCAACTCCTTACTTGACCAAGCCTGCCACAGCATAGGCTTTTAGAGTTTAGGAGACACTGAATTAAACAGTGGCTTCTCTTCACCTGCCAATGGGGAGGTGTTTGCCTACAACTCTTTCCTTGCTTGAAGCTGCATTTCCTAAAGCACTGGGGTTATTCCACCCAGATTGCCTTTTGTGGCAAGAAATTTAAAGAGAAAGAAGAAATTTAAATGAGGCCAGTGATGCTGTTTCTCTTTCAGAATGCTGGAGGAACTTGATATTTTCTCTGTGGCGAAAGGTCAAAAATGCCCCCTTTGAATTGAACTGTAAATACTAAATTCTCAACAATTATTCTCTGCAGCAGTTGAAAAAAATCAAAAACAAACAAAAAACAAATTCAGCACATTGCAGTTGTTTGGTCTTTCACCAAAACACACCCACTTTCCGTCAGCAAGACTTACTCTTCTACCTGGCACGTACAACCTAGCACTGAATTCCTTTGGCAAAATCGTTCTGTGTAACTGTGGCAAGAGCCAAGGGCAGCTTGGGCAAACAGCGTAAACACCAGGCTCTCTCTGAGCTTCATCTCTGCGCGTAAGCTGCTTGAGAAAGTCATAGTTGGAAATTGTTTTGGAGACCTGGCAATGCTTTTAAAACATGATAACCATCACACTTTTCTCTGAAAGGTTAGTTTAATCGTAGATCACAAAAAATTGGTTTCCACAAATGCATAATGGTTCATCTATGTCACACTTGAACTAAATGGTTTTTTAAATGGAGCTGAAATTATTTTGATGTGTACACAGTCCTAGATTTCTATACAACCTTTTTTAACCAGCCCATCAGGAGTCTTGCCTCTAAAGCCTCATTAATAATTCAGATGTGCTGATGACTTTAAAAGATCTATGGAATTGAAGCTTAGGGGGAAAAAAACCCTCCTCTTGACAAAAAGATAAATGAATGTAGAAAGAAGCTGTAGGAGGCTGGCAAGCTGTAGATCATCTCAGAACAGATTGTAACTTTATCATTCTGTCAAGGGGAATAATTTAAAGCACTTAATCAGTTAGCTTCGCTGTGAGGATGTAGCATTATGAATTCCTATCGTCCAATCTGTTCAAATCAAAGTGAACGTAATTATAATAGGTAGGAGAGCCAGAGCAGGAGGGATCATGGGGAGAACCACGCAAGAGGTAGCAAGTATCCTGAGGGCTACACTGAGCTGCTGAACGTCCTTTAGGCTTTTCCCAATCATATCCTAGCCCCAGAGGCAGCCACAACGAGGAGCGAGGGCATTGGGAATGGTGATAATACAGACCAAGAAGGAAAAAGTAGAGCGATCATGAGCTAATCACAGATGCTGAATTTATAAGCTAACACATGCACACGCATGCGCACGCTTGCACACACACATACACCAAGCCAGCTGGGAAATCATTTTAACAGGTATGTCCACAACCAGACACAAGGCAGATGTAAATTGTTCCATAAGCAATAAAAATGGAAGCCAGAGGGACCATTGTTTCTAGAGCTGTGAATGTGTTGGAAAGCTGTTTTCCTTCCTCTCTCCCTCCCCTCTGCCACTGGAATGAAGCCTACAATCCCCGAAGCTAGATAGTCTGCTGTCCACTCCCTTCCTATCTCTGCCCATGGACCAACTTTTCAGAAAATTTCAGTCCTAGAAAGGGGTATGGATTAGAGTAGAACCAGGTGAAATTGCACAACCCAGCTAAGAGGCTGCTCCTCTGCACACACACACACACACACACACACACACACACACACACACACACACACATCCTGACTCAGCAGTCTCTTTCTCTCAGCCATTTCTGTATTTCGGGTAGAAAGGAAAGTGACAAGCCAGCACGTGCTCACTGCTGACAGCTTGGGTTATTATAGTCAACTGAGACGGTGCCACCTGGAACTCTTGCCATGACTTCAGACCCACAGACTTCTCTTTCTTTAAATAAAAGCCATTTCAAAATGCTCTTTTAGGACAGTTGCCTATTCTGATTTTTTCTCTCATTGGCCAAGAGATTCTGTGGGATTACCTTAAGTCCCCTTGGACCATGAGAAGGAAACAGACAGGACAGGAGTGGTACAGTTCACATCTGCCTTTGAGTCTGCTTGTTGTAGCAAAGCCAAGAAAAGGCTGGGAAGAGGTGAGACTGGGGAAGATTCTGGACCGCTTGTTCCACAGTAGGGGTGGTGTCCATCTACTCCAGCTTAGTCTCTGAGGTTGGCCTACTCCTGGGAGCTCCTAGTCTCAATAGCACACTCATTTTGTTCTTCACTGGCTATAGGAAAGAGAAGGATGTTCCGGCTCTGGGGGCTTCCGTACACTGTCTTAGCAATTACTCACTGCCAGCTTCTATTGATTACCTTTATGCATTTTCAATGAACTTTCCAAAAGCTTAACCTAGGACTAATTAAGCTTCTCATTTCTCCTTCTTGTTCTCTATCCATTTTGCCCTTTAGCAGAAAAGAAATGGTTTACAGATGAACCGGATAATGCCTACCCCAGAAACATTCAAACCAAGCCCATGAGTACCCACATGGCTAACCAGATCAACCAATATAAATCCACAAGCAGCTTGATCCCGCCAATCAGAGAAGTGGAAGATGAGTGTTGACTCCCAGGAAACCAGAACTATTTTTTTAAAGCCTGACTAACTTCATAAATGGTGACGTGACTTTTCTTCCTCTTCCATGCCGAATCACTGGTGGAAACACTAGAGTAAGCAAGAATTGCAAGAAAATAAAGTAGACAGCTCTTTCTCTTTGCCTTGAATATTGCTTCCATGTACTTTGGAAAAGAAAATGATTTCATTTATAAATGAACATACTAAAATAGTCATGTATAGCTTCTAGCGTTTTAAATTATTTTTATTTATTAGAAAGAAAATATATTTTTTCTTTTCTTTTCTCTTTTTCATTGCTAGATATCGTCCCATATATCACAGCAATGTAAAATCAAAATTAGTAAGTGGCCAGATTCCTTAATGTGTATCCCTCTCCCGCCCCTCGTTTTCGTTGAGGAGAATGATGGTCACCTCCCCAGTTTATAATTAAGGGAAATGGATTACCCAAAGAACTTTAAGGTAGTCAACAATGTACACACACATTTTAATAAATTGAAAAACACCAGTCAGAAGAGCAGAGGTGAATATCTGCCTCCCCTGGGTGTGTGTGTGCTGATCTGCATTGACATCAGCCCTTAAACTTTCAAACTTACCTTTGCAGCTGTAAGTCAGATCTTCATAGTTTCAGTTTTCATCTGGCATTTCTTAGCCTTTGTTCATATATTTACAGGAAAGAGCTTCATGCAGCTTTCCTGCAGCTGCCAGATCAGGTTTAAGCAGCCAGCTCAAGATATGGGAAAGGGTTATAGGCACACCTAGGATGCGGAAGTTGTGCAGCGAGAACTGCCCATTTGTTATTCTCAAGGTGGGGCCTCCTCCAAGCTATTATGCTTTCCACTTCATACTTCTAATTCACCCGAGCAAGTTATGTCGCCTGTGGAAGAATCTGGTGAATTCTTTCCCCACTCAGAGTTATTAGCCTGGAAGTTTGTGAACATCAATAAGTAGTGTTACCTAACACTGGGATCTAAGAAGTGTTCATGCTTAGCACGAAGCATTTGTTTACACATCAGACAGTATCCACTGTCAAGGAGATGAACTTTTGCTCAGATTTTCATTTGCTGGCTTTCCTTGGTTGAATTGCTGGGACAAAACATTCAAACTCGTTAAACACATTGACAAACACAATACCAACTGAAAGGAAAGTAAGTCATGTCTTACCATAGACTGTTAGAAAAAGGCCTTTGAAATTTACCAGCAATGAAGTCAAATGTATCAGCCACTTCAACCCGTGGTCAGAAGATTTTTCTAAGCATCACATGCAATTGTGATGTCTCAGCCCAGCTGTTGCATGCATGCCCAGTGTATAGTCACTCAACAACTGCTTTTGTTCCAGTGACTCAGAAAGTCTTTCAACTTCATAGCAATCAGCCTTCTGATATGATCATCGGGGTCTCTGGAGAAGCATGGGTGTGACTGTGATTCTCAAGTCTTAAAAAAAAAAAGTAAAATGTGGACCTGTTCCCAATCTAACCAAAACAGCCCCCAAAATCCCATGACATCCCCATTCATGTTGTAGATGACTCTATGGTACCTATTTATGATAGTACAAACCAGATCAGAGCAAAGCAATGCGATCACCGTGGAAACGTCCGTCCGTCCACTAAGGACTCCAACTACCAATGTAGGCAAAATGAGCTTCCACCTCTGTCCATCCCTGCAGAGCCAGGGTAGCTGTACTCCCGCCTTGTAGGCACTGTCCTGCAGTGACTCGTCGGGCTGTGGGTACTCTGTTGTCACTTTTTGTAGAATTAGCTCTATAAAAGTATTGTGAATATAATGTGTGTCCAATTGGATTGTTAAAAAAATATTTATAATCAATCACTAGTCTACTCAGGCTAAAATGACGTCAGCAGTCTATATTCAGGCTTATTTATAAACATTTCTTGGATTCCAACAGATCTCAAATGTGTTGGTGGGGAGAATCCACTGCCAGGATATTGACAGTGTTCCTGGAAGCTAAGACTTCCTTAAACATCATGATTTTGCATTGGGGTTACCTAAGTACATTCATGTCAACCCACGCTCTTCTTCCCTTCCTGGATCACAGTAGGCTCTTTTTCACACTCGTTCCTACTAACCACTTCTGAATTTGTCTTAGTTCCGTGATCTCCTATGGCAACCAGTGGTGTTTACCTAAGTAATCTTCCACCAGAAGAATAGTGGTCTGGACACTCCGACTTTGCTTCATTCAAGTCAAGGCAAGAAGCAGAAGCTTAACCCCACCCCATTTCCCACAATAGCTGGAGATTGAAATCTAAACTGTTTTCCTAACCACAAAGGCTACAATGATAGTTTCCTACAGTGAGGGACTCCCTCCGTTCACCAGGCAGCTTTCAAAACCCAAGATAACAAATCCATTTTCTCCTGAGATAGAGCAATAAATGAAGAACACAAATCAAGCATGACTCTCAGGTGGTATAAAAAAACGACCTGGTGGTGGGACCTTTGGCAAAAATTCAAGGCCAATCAATTGAAATAGAGATAATATTTGTTCAAAATAACTGGAGGATTAAAGGCATTTCCCAGAGTTTCCAATTTGTTTCTATTTGTTGAGGTCTGAGTCCTCTGAAGGGTAAAACCTGTTTTTCCAACCACTTTCTCCTTAGGCCAATGGTGGTCTTCTTTGGAATATTCCACATTAGAAGGCTCTGATCTCCAGTCCCTGTTTAGGCTTTCAGAAAAACTATGTTGGCAAATTAATGATGCTTGAGTGTGTTGGGAATCAGATGGTTTGTAATACAGAAACTACCCATATGTGAGTTCATTTTTGACCTCACCATTTTTCTCATGGTGGCAACGTGCTTTTGTCTAAGCAACTATATTTCAGAATATCCTCCCATGCTATAACAGATAGAATTCATTCACTTAAGATGTTTTATCTTTAAGACTAATTGTGACTAAGTAATCTGGAAGAGCAACCTCCCTTCTACAAGTTATCCTTTGCTTTTGTCCGTTTGTTTTTTTAAGTGATGGAAGACTTTAATCAAGGACTTAGTTGAGTTGAAGTGAAGAGTGAGAAAATTATGAAATTAGGGATATTTTGAAAGTTAAACAAAAAGTGCCCAAACTGTGCCTGATTTGACGGTTCAAGAGCATTCGGACACAATTAGCTATTAGCTATGAAAATGTTCTTTAAATCCTCCAAGCCTCAGTGACTTAAATCATGGAGGGTGATTCCTTGAGCTGGCTAAGGTCCCTTTCAGACTGACTAAGACAATAGTTAACCTTGCCTCAGTTAAGTCCCTGAAGCAATCTTTTCCAGCGCTGTAACCATGGCTTTTCTGGCTCTGTGAACCAATGATGGCTTTCTGAGCTGAACCGGCATCCTCTTTCTGCTCTGGACATTGAACAGTCAGGTTTGTGCTCTTAGATGTGAGATGCAAAGGTTTCAGATTCACCCCATCATTGGTGTTGTTGGTTCTAGGTTTCTCCTTATAACCTTGCTCCCCAGCTTCCCTGTCTCTTGGTGCAGCAGGGTTTTGACTAGTCTCTTCTTCTCCAGCCCACATCTCTAACAGCGTAGAGAGAGAGAGAGTCTGGACACCCCTACTCTTGATATTATTCCCATTAATAATAATATCCCCACATCCACTCATCCTTGCTTCTCATTTCCTTCCCAGTTTGACTTGTTTTGCTTTTGTTAACCATTGTCTTTTGCTGCTTACATTCATAAGTGTAATCTTGATCTGTCATTTTCATCATCAAGGAGATCCTTGTTGAAAGAATCATAGAAAGAGGTAGAAAGGCTCAAAGAAAAACCGTGTCAGCTAAATGACTGGCAGTCATCTTGACTTCCAAGAGATCACACAAATTAATTGAACACTAAGTTCCAGCCTCAGGTCTGCTCTTTTTTTATTTTATTTTTATTTTCTGCCTTTGGGACAGTGGTAAAGTCACCGATACAGTGGCTCTTATTACTGAAGACTCAATCCATACTTTTCAACTTAGAGGAACTGAGAAATTACTTTGACATTTCCTACTATATTTTTTTTCTGCCTCAGCTGTCCAGCCCATGTTCTTTTTTTTTTTAAGATTTATTTATTTATTACATATTCAATGCTCTGCCTACATGCCAGAAGAGAGCACCAGATTGAATTACAGATAGTTGTGAGCCACCATGTGGTTGCTGGGAACTGAACTCAGGACCCCTGGAAGAGCAGTCAGTGCTCTTAACCTCTGAGCCATCTCTCCAGCCCCCAGCCCATGTTCTTTTTTTTTTTTTTTTTTTTTGGTTTTTCGAGACAAGGTTTCTCTGTGGCTTTGGAGGCTGTCCTGGAACTCACTCTGTAGACCAGGCTGGCCTCGAACTCACAGAGATCCGCCTGCCTCTGCCTCCCGAGTGCTGGGATTAAAGGCGTGCACCACCAACGCCCGGCCCAGCCCATGTTCTTAACAGGTGTTTTCTGTTATAAAACAGAATGATTCCTCGCTTAAATCTCATGGTTGCTTGATAAGATGAGGAGACCCTTTGGATTTATTTGTTTAAGGGACATAGATCTAGAAAAACAGTCATTGATTGAACAAACAGTGATGGGCACTGGTGACTGTACCCTTTTGGGATGGAGGCTTTTAAGATGTTCATTTACTTCTGGAACAGGTGTAACAGGAACTTTGACTTTCTAGCCGAATATTATAAGATTATTTAAGCCAAGTTTATCCTAATTGATTATTGCCCATGCAATAATATTTCCAAGATTACCACAAAAATAAGGTAATTCAGAGGATATTTAAAATTTTATTTTTCAATATCTATGATAAGAGTTATTTTTAAGAAAAATATTAAGAAAGGGACCTCTGTGGTCAAAGGCCATTGGCCCTTCAATAGTTAGGAGCTCCCCAATATTCTAGCCTCACATGGCTTAATGGAGAAATGATTCACATTTAGATTCTCTGTTCTAGAAGACCATCCTTTTTAAACTGTTTTTGAGCATGAAAATGGACCTAAACTGGGGAAAACAGGGTGTGCATGAAAGAGTTAGAGAGAAGCAACACTTTCTGAAGCCCTGGAAAGAGATGATGCCTAGGACTGGAAGAAAGAGGTTCCCTGGAATCACAAATGGAAAAATGACAGGAACCCAATCTTGGATGGGCTGTGGAGGCTGTCCAATAGGAAATATGTGGTTTGACTGAAGGAACAAGGATCCTGAGGGTTTTCCAATGAGAAGGGACTTAAGAGATTACAATGCAGACACCAAAGGTGTTTTTGATAAATGAGCAACATACCTTCTGTGTCCACAAGCTGAGGAAAGATATGACAAGACTTCATGGAAGACGATAGAAAGCAGGTAGTTGAAGGGCCACATTAAAACAGTGGAGCATTGATTTAGAAAGACAGACAGAGTCACTGAAAGGTCTGAAGAAAGAGTGATGGGGCAGTGGTGCATACACTGTGCCCTTTTGGGGTGGACGCTTTTGAGACATTCAGTTCTTTCTGGAAGTATGGCAGAAATGTAGGCTTTCTAGCTAGGGGTTGCACTCAACAGCAGCTCATCAAGCAGAACACCTGCCTTTGTCCATTGTCTCTCTGTCAGGCCTATGACACCCCTGCAGTACTCAGTTACCAAAATCTCAGTCATAGATCCACCACATAGATTAAAGGGAAGAGACTTGTCAGATTGTTTCAAAGAAACCTGCTGGCTATACTATTTTCCAGACATTAATATAACATGAACACCTGGTAGACAGCCAACAAACCATAGCATAATCAAGAATGCAGGACTTCCAACTTCCAGCACTAGGTAGGCTTCTGTCAGGTGATTTAGTGATGTGGAACTGGTGGACAGCACCAGAACACGCTTTTTAGAGGAATGGATCAGGTTAGACGATGAGCATGAGAGTCTTACTTGCAGTGATCTTAAATCAAGCTCTGTAGAATAGATGGGGCCACAGAATTAGGTAAGCTGAGGCACAACATCCCAGCTCATGTGGGAATATGGATGAATCAG